ATCGAGTTCAGGCAGGTCTACGTGGACGATTGCGCCGCTTTGTTTATAATTCGCGTCTCAGTGCAAAATAAAGTCTCGTAAAACGGAAATACTTCTTCTCGAGTTCGTGTGAATCACTACGGCACAATAAAGAATACAGGCTTCGAGAAATGCCGTGTGTATGTGCATGTGTGCATCAATGTGTGTGTGTGTGTGTGTGTGCAATTACGTGTCAAGTAGAGTGGCGTGTATGCGGTGATTAAGTGAGACGAGAACAAACTGACAACTGTCTGTGCTGCCTTTGCAGACACATCGAAGCAAGTGGACGGAGCGAGTTGGTAGTCTCCGACCGACGCGTCAATCTCAGCCGCAACCCTCGACCCGACACACCAACAACGAACGGGTCCAAAGTGGCCCGACGGGCTCGTCGTCAGAGTCGGCGTCGGCCTTGTTCCATTCCTACAGCCGGCGAACATTGCCTGACACGCGATAAATTGCTTCCGGCGATACATTCCCACCTGACGCGAGTGTGTCATTGTGTAGACGAGGGTCACGACAACCCTATTTTGCTGCCTGCAGTCCCAATGGTACAGGCGCTTGGAGGTTTGAAGTGAACCTTGTGTTGCTCACTTCGCCCCGTTCTGATCCCGCTATGGCCTAATCGCAAAATGGCGATGATCTTGCCTCGAGTGTTCTCCGAGCGGTTGATGTTAGGTTGGCGCGTCGCTGGAATCATGTCGGGTGAAGACGAGACAATTTCTCTTTCAAGAGATGCTTCATCTGGAATGTCAGCACTCATTCAGCTCTCTTCCAATTTTTGTGCCAATTTTGGTTTATTTCCAACTCGCACATGCGCAGCATCGCTTCATGATTGTAGTTAGGTTAGAAACTGACTAGTCTCTCCCTTTCTGGTTTGACCAAAAAGAGCTAAATTTTCGCTTCTCTCAGTAAAGTATGCCACTTAAATAACTGTAGATATATATTTGTATGTATGTATGTATGTATGTATGTATGTATGTATGTATGTATGTATGTATGTATGTATGTAATGTGTGTGTATGTGTATTTAAATATTAAACTGACGAATATCTTGATTCAAAGTTAATGTAGAAAGAAAGATTGTAGTAAACTAAGAGTGGAAGTTGGGAAGTGTAGAAATGGATGAATGAATAATTGGATGGAGGAAGGATAGAAGAGGAGACCATATGGACTGCACAGGTAATGCCATATAAACATATTCATTTATTTATTTCTATTTGGTCTTTTTTCTATTCTCCTTCTGTCCATTTCCTACACATCCCAACTTTAACTCTTATATTCACGATCCATTTGTCTATATTAATTTTGGATCTATTGTATATATATATAAAACCACTATCCAACTAGCTCAATTACTCTCCTATACCGTGATCTTTCTACCTACCTAAATATACATCTATCCTATAAAACTTATCTATTGAATTATTCGCTCAAAACATGTAGACATATATATATATATATATGTATGTATGTATGTATATATATGTGTATGTGTGTGTTTATTTAAATATTAAAATGTGTATACTGGGGCGAATAGCTTGATTCAAACTTAATGTAGAAAGATGGATCGTTGAATACAAACGGGGAAGTTGGGAAGTGTAGAAATGGATGAATGAATAATTGGATGGATGGAGGATAGAAGAGGAGACCATATAGACTGCACAGGTAATGCCATATAAACATATTCATTTATTTATTTCTATTTGGTCCAACTATTCATCCATCCATCCATTTCTACACATCGCAACTTCAACTCTTATATTCACGATCCATTTATGGACCTATTGTACATATATAAAACCACTATCCAACTATACCGTGATCTATCTATCTACCTAAATATACATCTATACATTGAAACATGTATATTGAGTAATTAGCTCAAAACATGTACATATATATGTATGCATGTATGTAACAATGTATTAAATAGTGAAAACTTTTCACAGAATAAATAAACATGTCCATGTTTTCAGCGAGTAACTAAATATAAATGCCACAAAGGGTAGATAGATGGATGACGGTATAGGAGAGCAGATGAGTTAGTCGGATAGTGATATTAGTT